ACACACACTCACTCACACACCACCACCTGGCCTCCCAGCTTTGGGCAACAGATGTGGCAGTGCCAGCGCTGTGCCAAGCAGCCGGGGCCGGATGTATGGCCTGGCTTGTCCTCCTCTCAAACTCTTTTCCTCTCCCCCTTTTCCTCGTTCTCCAATCCTGTCTTCGTCTCCTCCTCCCTGTCTGTTCAGCGCTGACAACCCTCCTCCCAATATTTCATCCGCGAAAGCCTCACCCTCCAATCCCTCTGTCCCTCTCCCCAGCTCTCATCCGTTGCTCTCCACCCTAATCATCCTTCCGTCTCTGTCCTCTGACTCCTCTCTCCTCTTCCTCTCTCCTTCCTGTGTGTCCAATCTTCTCTTCCCCCTGCCCCCTCTGATCGATTCCCATCGCTCATTCCCAGTACTTGTCCACCCTTCCGGACTCCTATCTTTCTGTCTCCTCCTCCACCCTACGATGTTCCATTCTTTATCATTTTCTCTGAGGTTTCAGCTTGTATTCTACCATTCGTCATCATTTTCTTTTCCTTTTTTACGCTGTCATCTTGCACCTCCTGCTCACTCTGCCTCTACTGTTGTTCCGTCCATCACTGATGCTCAATGTACTATTCTGCTGATAATTTTCATTGCTTTTTCGCAAAAAAACTAACAAGATATAACTCACTAAACCTATTCCAACTTTAATTATATGAAACTTTTCTGTGCAGCATTACAGTTCAAGTCAAACGTCTGTACAAAGTTATGTCCATTCAAAAACCACCTTGTGAGAACTATAACTTTGTAGTTATCCACTCTGTGTTCTCACAAATTATACGACAAAGATTATGAATGAACAAAACTTTTCATTTCAAAGCTTAAATGACTAAAAAGCAAAGACAAAGTTTTACTCATAATCTGTATGAATCATATGAACAATGAGGAGTGGTGATGGTGGTGGTGAGAAACATTAAGATAAATCTTATCAACTCATTTGCTGTTTAATTACACATGTCAACGTCACTGTGGAGCTTGTTAACCAGGTGCAGAACAATGATATAATGATAAATGGTTAATTAGAGTCCTCAGTGGGTTCTGCAGAGCACGACAACACTCTGAAGACCAACTGATGACTGACAAGATGTTTTGACACGCCATGAGTGAAACTGATGCAATAGCTGTTGAACCATTTTACTCTGGCATTGTGTGTGATGAAATCACAGGAACATCTCAGCAACATCTCATGGCAACTTAGATGACAGACGTGACATTTAAGAAATATAAAAACTTAATCAGTGTGAGGATTTAGATTGTTACATGTCCTCCAGCTGGAAGACAAAGGTTCAAATTCCTGCTGTAGTGTCCTAAAGCAACACACAGATACCCTCCCGCCTATAGAGGCTCTGCTCAAAATTGAGATACTCCCTAAAGGGGTTAATCACAGTAGACGTCCCAGTATCATAATCACTGAAACTGTTACCAGACAAGCCTGAAAATTATGAAGCCAACATATAAAGGTTACTGCTCCTTAACTCTTCTGATTACAGTCATGATCATAAAGTAACTTTTTATGTGGAAAACACTTTTGAGTTTTAGTCAGAGCCAATTATGTGTCAGCAGCTGTTGGAGTGATAACCTAAAATGCTGTGCACAGGTAAATAGAATCAGGAGACAGAGCTTCTGGAACAGCCCAAAACAAATGAACAGACTTCAGTGGTGATATGTGTCTCACAGGTAAAACAGTTTGTTTGAAAAGGTTAATAATAAGCCAACAAATACATTTTTCTGTTTTCACAGCAAACGTGGTAGAGGGAACGTACTTGCTACAGAAAAGTTATTTAGTGGGTAGGGCAGGTCTGCGTCCTGAGGTTTCTCTTTGTAGCCGATGAAGGAGCCGTCTGTCTTCAACAGGAAGTAACGCGGTCGCCAGTTCTTTATGTATTCACCTGGAGAGAAAAATGCACACAAAGAGAGGAAGGAAAATATAAGTCAGATCAAATAAAACTGAATTCAGAACACGAGGCAACAGTGATGATGATACTGTGGGCAAATGGTTTATGAGGATTATGCTGATCATCATGTTATATGGAAAGTGTTAATAGTATGGTCATGATTTAAATACAGATTTTATTCCCCAGATAAATAAGAGTCTGTCAGCTTAACTATCTGATCTGCCCAAATGATATCACACACACACGCACACACACACACACACGCACACGCACACACACATCTCCATGACTTCACAGGAGGACAAAACTTAACCTTAAAACGTTCCCTTATCTGTAAAAATGTATTAATTATATCATTATTACAAAGACAAATCCCAAATAATAATAATAATATATAATAATAATAATTTAGGTCCCCACAACAAGAGTTAAACTTGGACTACACACACAAACACACACCTACACACCCACACGCCCAGTATCTCTGACTCCCACAGCGTTTGCCAGATTGAGATCGGATTATCGTGTAAAAAATGACAAAAACATGTTTACCAGCACCACACTCAAACTATCCATGCCAGAAACATCATCTGGCTGATACATGGGCAGGCGTTGAGGTGATGACCCTTCCACCCAACACACATACTAGCACACTGAACACACACGCATGAATTTACACTTTCAGCGCACATACACACAAACCACTGGTTGCCAGGAAAAGAGTAAGAAGAAAAGGAGGATGAGATTGGATGAAATGAACTGACACGAGGAGGTAAAATTACACATAGAGAATAACCCTTCTTAGACGGCAGCGACAAATAACAACATCTGCTGAGCAGCTGGTGGCAGAGCATTACCCAACTGGCTGGCACAGACTGGCACTAAGGTGACACCACAGCTTTATCAGATGACCCATCACAGGATTACACAAGTGTCAAACATTTCCACACCACAGAGGCGGATAACACTTACTGGAAACAGCATGGATACACACATGGATTAAAGTACACACACGTGCGGATTCACACATAGTTGGATGAGTACAATGGGTACCAACACAGGGATGAGACTTGTGCACACACATGCACGACTGAGCACTGTATACGGCTCAGAAACACAGCTCTGATGAAAGAAACTGACTGAATCTCAACACTTTCCAAAGCTGGGAGCTGTGTAAACATTTCACTTTCTCATTTCAAAACAACAGAAATAATAACCACAGACAGGAATGATCCTCCACTTCTCAGACCCTTTTAATTAACCAGCCGCTCGCTGACATACCCACACACAGACACATTTACACACCTTGTGAAGACATGCAAACAGACAAAAAGATGCATCTGTGCATGCACGCAATAACACATTCGAGGATCAGCTCCGATCACCTTTTTCGGCTAATTCACGGGGAGGGGAGAAAAATAACGTGTGTGTGAGTGTTCTATTTGTGACAGCCATTTAAAGCGGAAATGACAGCAGGCCGTGCTCGTTAACACGCCGCAGAAAAACACCTGCTCCGCTGAACTGCGGGCCCTGCCGGTACCTCTGGGTGCTGCTGGAGCTGTGTGTGTGTGTGTGTGTGTGTGTGTGTGTGTGTGTGTGTCTGTGTGTGTGACCACACAGGGACAGAGGAAGAGACACAGATAGACAATGATAGACAGATAAGAAAATGCTGTTGGGTGCGTCATCAGGATTACAAAATCACACCTCTCATCTCCCGGTCTCTATTTTCTCTTTTTCACAAATCACCACCCACTCTCCTGTTTCCTGCTCCTGTTCTCTGAGAAACAAAGCATATTCTTTGGATCACTTGCTACTGATAAACAGAGTGCTGTGAGATGGGCTGAATGGGAAGAGGTGGGAGGAGGAATGGAGAGAGTCATGAGGAAGAAAAAGAAGAAGAAAAATTATAAAGAAAGCAAAGTAAAAAAGGGACGGAGGGAAAAAGGTTGTAAGAAAAGGTGTAACTTCTCACCACACCAAAGTATTAATAATGTGAGAAGTAAACCATGCACAGGTATTTGATATTTTTTCTGTTTTATGAACTGCTATTGCTAATAAAAGGTATGCAAAATATTTATTTTTCCATTTATTTTCCAGATCTCCTTACAGCAAGGGATTGACAACATAAAAACAAACATTCATTATTTACACCAGTGCTTTTCCTACTGTGACATTTCAAAATGTCAAAGGTTTTTTTGTAAAAATGTTTCTGTTAGGGCACCGTCACACATATGCAAATTAAGGTGAATGATAATCACCTGCCAAGGCAAATTACATAATGTGTTTGGTCTTTAGTCTGTCTGAGCTATAGCAGTGAAGAACAGAGGAAGATGCTTCCATTTCTTGTGGTTAGGAGGAGGAGAAGAAGGAGGAGGAGGAGGAGGAGGAGGAGAAGGAGGAGGAGGAGGAGAAGGAGATAGCCAAGTGGGGTCGACCACACAAACACCATTGCTATTGGTTGAGGGTGTGAAGTTTCCGGTCAGAGTTCACCAAAGTTGAACTCCGTGCAAAGCCATGCAGTGGATTTAGTTTACACCAGGAGCTGGATATTTTATTCTCCTCCTTGGTTCACCATTGCTAAAATGTGTGACCAAGCCCACACGGTGTTAAAGGTACAGTGTGTAGAATTTAGTGACATCTAGTGGTGAAGTTGCATGTTGCAGCTGAACACCCCTCACCTCACCCTCTCCTTCCAAACATGAAAAAGAAACTGTGGAAACCTTTAGTTGCCATAAAAACTCAAAATGTGTTTAGTTTGTTAAGTCTGGACTAATGTAAAAAACATGGCGGCCTCTGTAGAGAGGGTCCCCTCCATGTAAATATTAAGTATTTGAATATAAATGGCCTTTTCTTGGGTAATTTCTGTCAATAGTTTCCTTTCACCTAGATCTTACACACTGGACCTGTAAAAAAAATGTACACCTGTAAAAAACAGGTGTACATTTATAACCACTTTATTAACACTGCAGGTTTCATCTGTTTCCGTAGTGTAGTGGTTATCACGTTCGCCTCACACGCGAAAGGTCCCCGGTTCAAGACCGGGCGGAAACACATTTAACTTTTTACTTTTAATTTTAAAAGTGTGAAGAATTTTGCGAAATCTAGTGTTGAAATTTCATGTTGCAGCTGAACACCCCTCACCTCACCATCTCCTTCCAAACCTGAAAAAGAAACTGTGGTAGCCTTCAGTTGTCATAAAGACTCAATTGTTGATGTAAAAAAAAAACATGGCTGCCTCCATAGAGAGGGTCCCCCTTGATGTAAATATAAAGTATTTTAATATAAAGGGCCTTTTCTGGGGTAAAGAAAACTACAATTCATACAATACAGATGAAATGAACTAGTGAAAACATCACAAGCATTTTTCTACAATAATAGTTCCCTTTCACCTAAATCTTACACACTGGACCTTTAAGCTCCTGTGGGTTTGAATCAGACAACTCCTGCTTCATTGAAAATTGGAAAATTGATGGAAGAAACTGATCATCTGTAAAAGGGGAACTTCACAGTAGTAGGAGATGCATTGACTGATGAAACTGATGAAGAGAAAGTTAAACTAATAAAACTATTATAAACTGGCAGTGATGACTGGTTTGCTGGTCCAAGTCCAGTCATTCCTCTGAGTCAATTTCCAATGGAAGCCTGTGGCTGGCCACTTCATCGCTCAGCTGTCCAGTACAACTGCAAACATTTAAGCAATCCTTCTGGCCGGGCCTAGACAGCGTTGTTTGTGAATGTGTGGTATGTTGAGTGTGTGTGTGTGTGTGTGTGTGTGTGTGTGTATACACATGTCCACTGGGGGGCGGGGGTGGGGGCAGCCAGGGGTGGCACAGACGGAGGGAAGAGATGGACAGTTGTCGAAGCACGCCGTTCCAAATAGACACCGGCACGCACACACGTGCTCGCACAAAACTAACACAGTTCTGGTTCGAGCGTTCCAAATTCTCCGAATGATGGTGTTCTGTCAAGCTATCCCGTCTTGGCCCTGCCTGTAATGAGTCCAGCGAGCTCTCCCACTCTGGACAGCTTGTCTGGAGAGCCACATGTCTCTAGTTTGGACTGCTGGAGAAAACAGAACAGCCGGTCTCCTTCCCACACCATCTCTCTCGGACTCCTCACTTCATTTTCATTTAGTTTTCTGCACAACTTTACTTTTCCCTTAAGGCCAATTAGTAAATACTACAGTACACAGTGCCGAAGACAACAGGAGTCTCTTGTCTCTTGTTAGAAAGATAGGACATCAGCAGAACGTGGGTGACTTGAAAGATCTGAGGAACAGAGGATATTTAGAAAGATAAATGAATGGATTTAAATGTGTTCAAACAAAGACATAATAAAGTCCTGTGCAGCAGTTCCAAAGTTTTATTTTTAAGTCCTAACTCATAGTTTTTTTATTAATTGTTCTGTTCCCTTCACTTTTAAAGTGTTTTCTTTGATTCAAGGTCTTAAGGTTAGATGAGGTAAAGGCAGCAAACTTTTCCAAAGTGTCTGCCCTTCATACTTTTTCTTTTTTCTTTCCAACTGAAAACTGAATTAGACTTTTTGAAAGTTGTTTGGGAATTTCGAGGAGGAATAAATCTTGTTGGCACATCCTCCAGTTGCAGCTTGTGGATTTAGCAGTAAGCGGCGGAGATGAATCAGCTGTGACTGTGTCTGTTCCAAGCTCTCTGATTGGACAATTACAACAACGCATGGACTCACTGTCACTCAATTAGCAAACTGATTAACTATTCATTTTGGGACAGAGGGGGGAGAGGGGAGAGAATTAGAGAGAAGTGCAGGAATAAATGGGAGACAGGTACAAAGAAATGAGTCACACGAAAACTTTGCAGTGTCTCCATCTCTCTGTCTAATACACCCACTCCTTCAGGACACCTGCACACCTCTGCTCTTCTGCTTCGTGAGGAAAAAAAACTCTTGATGACAATTAAATAAATAACTCCATAACTATGTGAGCTCACCAGCCATTTGTTAATCAACCCAAACAGGGATTT